TCCGTTACTGCGGTCGATCAATACCTGTCCGTATCCAAACACACGAACAGATGGTGCAGTGTAGGATCCCAGTGATAGTGCCTTGTAGTTGGCTTTCTTCTGCGACCTTGATGATCTTGGGCGTCGTGCGTTCTTCTTCGAGACGTCCATTCGGGATGAGGCGGTTGTCGAACATGGTCTCAGAAGCTCCAGAATCCACCAGTGCTGAAGTCCCAGTTGCAGTTGTCGTGAAAGTGCATTCGCTTCCCTTGCTGCATGTAGCATGGTACATGAATCCACCCTTGAATGCGTCTTCGTCGAAAGAGAAGTCGATCTCTGCCTTCTCGGTCTTCTCTGTTTCTTTGGGAGTGTCCGTTGTGGTAGGCTTGGCGTGTGTTTCTCCTGACTGGATTGAGCAGTGCATGCAGTGTGTGCATGCGGAGAAGGCCTTGCCCGTGCGTCCTGGTCGCTTGGCTCCTTGGCTGTATCACTCTTCGCGGAGTGTGTAGTGGTTGCTCCCGCAGGCTTCGTCTTCTTTGCCATATGGCCCTTCCGCTGGCGATTGGGACAGTTCCTCCTGACATGTCTCGGTTCGTGGCACTCGAAGCAGATGGGGCCAGATGTCTTGGTAGCCATGGCGAATCCGCGGCCAGCGATTTGGCCCTTGGTTCTCTTGCGCATTTGCTCGTCAAGGAAGATGTTGCGCATGGTGGCTTGCATCTGTTGTACGTCGAATGATGGGTCGCGGAAAACCATCATCTTGATGTCCTTGTAGTCCTCGGAGAAACCTTGCACACAGATGTCCTTGAAGCGGCGATCGGAGATGGTTTCCCCCATTTTCTCTAGTTGAGAGCGGAGGCGGTGTTCCTTGTTGAAAAAATCGTCCGGGTTTTCTCCTGGCTCCATGGCAGTCCTTTCCAGGTCGTCCAGTTTAGCCCTGATCACTTCATCTGTCACTCGTTTGTAGTTGGCCTTCAGTTCCGCGAATGCTGCCTGTCCGTCGCCGCTAAGGCCGGTGTCGTCGTCATGCTTGTGTAAGGTTAGTGAAGCCGGCAGTTCGACGAGGCAGAATAGGATTGCGTAGAGGTCTTCGGTTGCTCTCTCGTATGCGGCGAAGGTGAGGGATCAGGCCTGCGCATTCCCTTGAGAAGTGGCATGATGTTCCTCCGAGTAACGCCGACGACTACACCCAATTTCTTCATCCAGTCGTTGAAGTCCTCTGGTTTCGTTCCATCGAACTTGGGGAGTCCTCTGATGACGTTGGCCAGGTTTGTGGATCCATCACTCCAGATGCTGCCTCCGCCTCCAGTTCCCGGTGTTGCTTCCATTTCTGGTTTTATCCTGATGATCTTGTCTTGAATGTTTGTGTTGGTGTATTAGTCTACTCAGCCATCTGTCTCTGAGATTCTTCCAGCCCCGCTCCTTCTATTGAAATAGAGGACGCCGGTTGCCGATTCGTGACCCCGCTTCTGAAACCCTTTTCTCACCTAGATAGAGAATTGGTGAATAGAACTCCGGTTGTAGGCCAATTTGCGACCCCGCTCCTGATACCCTTTCCTCACTTAGATAATCGGTGAATAGGACTACGGTTCCCGGTCGACTTTCGCTGTTGATACAGTCTTCCCTCCTGTCTCTGCCGCAGAAGTATTGGCTCGATGTCTAAATCGAGGCTTCCCGCGCAACACTTTGCTGTTTTTTCACCACAGAAGCACCCACTACTGTTGCAGCAGTGGTAGCGTGTGTGATAATGAACTCTCAGCCCCTCGGTGTATATGACCAAGTAGTGCGCTCACTTTCGTTTCCGCTGACCGTTGATGATCTCCCAAATCTCCGAATCCAGATTTCCGCTCGAGGTCCACAGACGGATGTTGTAGTCACAGCAGTAGGATGTCTTGACCTCCGTCGCGATGTCCGCAGCTCCTAGTGTTCGCGTAAAGCGAAGCTCATAACCTCACAAAATGTGGCGCTCTGCAGCAGCGGAGGTGGCGGTGCTGCTGTAGCTCGTAGACTTTGTAGTCTACCACCGAGGTTACATTGCTGTCACCGCTCCATCACAGAGGTTAGTCTACACTGCTGTGAGATCGGTAGGCCCGAGCGAGCNACAGCAGTAGGATGTCTTGACCTCCGTCGCGATGTCCGCAGCTCCTAGTGTTCGCGTAAAGCGAAGCTCATAACCTCACAAAATGTGGCGCTCTGCAGCAGCGGAGGTGGCGGTGCTGCTGTAGCTCGTAGACTTTGTAGTCTACCACCGAGGTTACATTGCTGTCACCGCTCCATCACAGAGGTTAGTCTACACTGCTGTGAGATCGGTAGGCCCGAGCGAGCTTCGGAAAGAGAAATGCAGATAGATGTTCTTATTAACTGACTCCCTGGTCAGGCTTTGATGGGCGAAGGCGCGCTTGTGTCTCAGCTCAGCAACAAAACCAAAAACAAGCAGCAAACACAGCAGGTTCCGAGGGTGTCCGGGGTATTGGCCCGAGTACCGGAATTTCAGGGTTCGGAACAATAAAACGACTACAGTCTCGCCTGCCAAATTATCTTCGCTACAGCTCTGTGCTCATGATCTCTGTTAAGTACCATCTCTTCGTTCTGTATTATGTCTACGGAAGGCTAGTTGCCGCAGTCGCACCTATACTGTGCTGGCTGCTTGGCTACGTTGTAGCAGTTTTCCTCGACAGCGGGATCATGAGGTGTTGCGAGCCCCACCGGGCTCACTCCCCGACTATCCCTTTACATCTTCACTCTGCAAGTAAGCTGTGAAGTGAGGAAGACAGAAAAGAAGTACAAGTCCCAGAAGCGGTAGTCAGCAACAACATCGACTTGGCCCATTATCTCAATAGACTTCGATCTGCACAGACTTTGGCCTGAATATCACACAGAGACGTCTGTCTGGGAATTCAAAAAGGCTTCACCGCCTGCAGACACAACCCTTGGGTACAGGGCACCTCGACACTACACACTTCCACAGTGTGGTGGCGTTCCGGCCGTTCGCAAGACCGTGGGTCAGGCTCCAACACCATTTACTATTGTGGCGGGGCCGCAAATATGAAATAATGTCAATATCAGACCGAGGGTCATTTCCTTTGTTTGAGTCGAAGGGCTAGCCGAAATTGTTTCGTTTCGTAGGATGGCATATTACATAGAGTCTTGCCGCAGAATAATGTGGTTTTCGGACTGTCGCATCTGTTCGATATACTCGTAGCATAGCATGGGGGTGGAATATTGCGTATACATGTGCGGGATTTGCAGTGACGAACTACGGAGGAACAAGAAGTTTCTTTATGTTTTCCTTGGGAGTGTGGTAGATTCGTGGACATTCATGGAGATTCGTTTTGGGTGTTTGAGCGTTATGCGTGACTTGATACCGTGATGGAATGACGAGCTCAAGCACGCCCCCGATGAATACAACATGTTTTCCAACACGTCTGTACGACTTTACCTACCCCTACGGCCCGTCATGGCCGAGCTGCTCTACAC